AATGTCTGGTTATGTGATCTCATTAATACAGGAACAAATATTGTAGTTACCTCGTTGTCTTGTTAGACATTGAATTACCAATGAAGGCTTTATGGCTTATAAGACAATAAACCTGCCATCGTCCATTGTTAGCATTAATACCTGTTGATTGCAACGTGATATCTCAATATCGTGTTTATGCTTTCCCTCGTCTTTATATTATCATACGACTAATACATATATTTTATTATTATTTGGCTTTTGTATCGATATCATTAACACAATGAAGAGAGATAATATAATTGATAAAAATTACCAAAAAATACTTTTATGTCATTAAATTTAGAATAAAATTAATATAAATCTAAAATCAATTCTACCTCTAAAATAAAATTATAACCGTAGTGTGCTTTTTTGTGGTACTATAATAAATACTAGTGGACAGTGGAAATGACACTTATTTTGTTTATAAGAAGTAAGTATTTATTATCACACTTTATACTCTGCATATAATATAGAATATCTTAAAAATGATACTAAAGATGTTAACTGTTAACTGTTGTGTGATTATTAGAAAATATTTTATTAAGCAAATTTAATGGGACCTCAAAACATTCAAAATTTAATTTATAATTACTCCGTATACCTTTTCTCTACCTTCAACACATCCGTTTTCTACGGTTGCTTAGGCAGGAATGGCCTCTCACTTACACCGAGTGGACCAAATAATGATGGCCGCCGATAGTGTGGCGATTGTGCATAAATTTAAATTATGTGCCAGTGTGAAATTTCAAATAAAAATAAAACTTTATAATAATAAGAAAATGTAATGCATTGATACACCTGGATGGACTGTAAATATAATAGGTACACATAGTTCATGTGATATAAACAAACGTTATTATAGTTAGGGTAGTTTTATTCCTATTCTACGAGAGCGTTCACATGTACATGCAAGTCAATATATCCAACCACTATACTGAATAACAAAGAAAATATTTTATTAGCAATAATTACTTTAACTATGAGACAGGATTAAGTAGATATTAATTCTTGCTGATAATTGTACTAAATTCTTGCTATTAGCAGGCGAGATAAAACGTAGTATACTGGATTCGGCCAGCTTTAACGTATCATATTTAATAGTAGTTAAGTGTCAGAAAAAAAAGTCTGGAAGCCCACGGGGTGACATTATTGGTGTTAATTGAACAAAGACTCTACAGCGACAATAGTCTTCTGACCAATCTGTTAAAAGCCCTCAATGATGAAGCAGGTCTTCATTGAGGTGATAGAGCCACATAAGAACATTGTCATATTATCTTGATATTTAAAATGTGAGATGAGGGAAACAAACTATTATATTTATTAAAAAGGTACTTCCAATTTGAGGGTAGTTGACACGAATGCTTCATTACGTCCTAACGCAGTATTGTTCCAGTGAATTTTCTGTGGAAGCTTTTGTCGCTGTCTCTATTTGTGGAAGATTAAATCAACTGTTGGTATAATTATGTGTCTCTTTAATTATTACTATATCATAAATCAAATGAATTTATTGAACGAAAACTGACACAACTCAGCTCTATACCGAAGTAGTCGATGGTGACTGTCTTTGTATCGTAAGTTATCAATTCATAGCACCAGTCTAAACTGCAATTTCTAGTCCATACACGAACTATGTACAATAGCTGGGACGCACATCAATTTCATATTACTTATTTATGGAGTAATCTCTCACAACTCGCTGCGGATTGGGGGCGATGTGCATAAGACGGTTCCATTGCAAGCTAGAGTATTGTTCGAATGATATGATTTGTAGCTTCATAGCCTTAGTGCTTGTGTAACTTTGAGTACTGATGTATTTTACTTCCCCTTTCTATTTTAATAAAGCAAGAATTCAGGTGGGAACGTTTATATGTCGTCTTGTCTTGCCATAGCAATATATCATTTTCATTCGTTTAAACTGATAACGTTTTTGTTGCGACATTAAATAACAGGACGCATTTTATTTTTATTTTATAAGTATTTGGGAAACAAACAATATTATTATACAATCAAATAAAATAATATAAACAATGTCACAAATCAATTAAGTTTCCACGATAAATTAATTTACAAGAGCATGACAGTGTTAATATCTAAAAATAATAAAAAAAAAATGAAACACACATTGGAAAATATTAGATTCAGAAATTAATTATAGAGTAATTCTCTCAACTTTCTCCTATAAACATAAATACTATTATAAAAAATGACAATTGAATTAAATTTATTATTATAAATACTACAAGTTCTATATAAAAATGTGTCAGCAGTGTAATTCGTTTTAACAAGAGGAACATTGAATAAAGCATGAACGTGTTTTCGCCATGTTATGTTTGAATGTTAATTACCATAGAAATCAATTGTCGAATGGATTTCAAATTATTCTTTTAACCTGTTCTTAAAAAGTCATATCTATTTAATGTAATTTAAAACTTCAATTTAATATTAGAGATTAAAAATTTTATAATTTATTCAGTCCATTTATTAATTATTTAGTCATACTGGAGAGTTTTCTATTTAAAATATGAAGATAAATAAAACTTTTATCATTAAAAAGACCAAAAGTATTTAGGAGCATAATTTTCGAACAAGGTAACTGATAAATTTACATTAAATTTTTGTTTATCAGTAATCTATAATTTGTCCTACCTCTGGCATTAACTGTCTACTTGTCATTATTGAATAGCTTTGTTACCATGGTTACTATACTATAAAATACCGATTGATGTGTCTAATCCTATTACGTCTCCGTCTCAACTGTTATAAAATTAATGTATATATGTAGACTGAAGACTACCACTTTGGGTAATGTTACTTGCTCTTAAAACATTAAAATAAGCTCGAACTTAATTACGATGTTATTACGTGTAACTAAAATAACTAAGGCATTGTTGAAACGTGTTCATAATATTTATCAAGATAATAACGCTGACTGTCTCGGTACAGGGTTTCGCCATTAGTTGTAGTTTGTAACGGAGCTGATAACATTCCCGTTCGTGCCCCAACATTTCTGTATCACTACGTAGCTATACTGCAATTACACTTTAAAAGATTTGTTAGCGACTACTCCGAATGAGGTTTAAGTTATAAGCGAAACCGCTTGCAAAACTGCAATAAATTCACTTTAGCTACTCACATATTCTTGTAGTATCCTACTTCCTTTACGATGATCAGTGTTAAAATTGATTTCGGAATCTCTGATTTAAGAGCAGAGATTTCGCTGTATGTGTTAGGTAATAAACACCTCCCTTATCACACAACAGTTTTTCAAATTTAATCTTATGGTAAAATATACAAAAACATCCGTCAGATGTTATAGTAAAATGTACAACCTCGTGTTATTCTGATTCTAAAATATGAAAGGGTGAAAAATCACATTCATATAATCAATAAAAAGTAAGACACCTATTTAGAAAATTAGTCTACACTTCGAAATTTCTCATTCTTTAATCGTTAACTTGATTTTAGTTTCTACTTAGTCTGTACTTTCTCTACGACATGTATGTAGTATATAATGTACACGTCGGTGCACATATTTGCTAAATTCCCTTTTAAATAAATTATTCTCGCTTATGCTTATGGTATGCAACGTAGATCATCGTTCGCGGCGCCACATCCCGTTCGCCCACGCGCCGCACGCATCGCGAGCTTTCACAAACGTCTCGTAGATGGTCGCTTACACCAACACTACCAGTGTACTACTCCACTATTAATATAATAACATTTCCTTATCTAGAACCATAAAAATACTGTTAGTTATCTTTTTACCTTAAATAATGACAGATAAATAAAAATGTCACGAATCTAGAATAAAATTAATATATTATAAATCAGTCAAATTATGATTACGGAAAAATGATACTCAAAATATTTTTGTGCTAGATTTTGCATAATTACATAAGCCTTTATGTTATTCGAATTTTATTAGAATTAAACAATTAATAAAATTATAAGGCTGTCGTGTATATTAATAACATTATAATGATCATAAAATACTTTTATGGTCACAATTATGTTAATTTACTCATTATCATAGACTTATTGTTGCAGAATACAATAGAAATCGCTAAAACATGTTAGGATTTGTATAATTGGATTGGTACTCAAAAGGAAGTTTGACCCCAATAAAATATTTACGTCAATGCATAAGATATAAGTTAAAAAATAATACATTATTTTGTTTTTAATTCAATCAAAGGCATTATTTTTAGTTCCGTTTAATTTATAAGTGATTTTTGTGAAAATGGTTGAATAAGTCATGGACGTGCAGTCCTGCGAAGAATTTATACGAGAGTGCTGTGAGATAATCCGGGAGAGAAGTCGTCGCTGAGAATTTATTGCGTCCAATGTTATTGATGCTTTAAAGATCATAATACCAAGTGAAAATATTTGATATTAATTTAATAGCTCTGAAAATTAACATAAAAACAGTTGAACTCCTATATTTAAATTGTTGATATTAAAAGTATCGGTACATAATATAGTTGATTTTAAGCAAGGTTCGTTATTTAATCCTATACATAAAGAAGATGATTTTAGGATGCAAAATTTAAGCTTTGGCGTGATGTGCTTAATTCAGTGGCTTCCCTTATTTACGACCCGTAGGCGGCGTATGACAGCCTTCAGTCAGCGCCGGGTATCTGCGCGCGCGCACGCGTACACGACACAACTTAAAACGGGAGTGCCCCACGCAATCACTAACACGAGTACACCGATATCGTGGGAACCACTCCTGTGCCGCGTATGCTAACTCTTGATTAAGAATCATATCATTATACTTCCATAAGAAAACTGATTAAGTCTCGAGATTATATATTCATTTTGATGATTTTCTGTTAGTGAGATGTCAACGCCTCGACCCTTTAATAAGCTGTCGCCGCCGGTTTATGCACTTCGGTGGCCGTAAATAAAGAACATAATGTGACATGGCGTATTTGTAGCGGTTGCATTTAAAAGTGCTCAACCGACTATTCTGCGAGATGAAGCTGTCAATGGTTATTGTTTATGTAATCGCAATTGCGATCGTCGTCGGAGGCGAGATCAGAATCAAAGGCAAAGTGAGAAAAAGGTTCAACTCGCACAGAAGGCACAGAGCTGCATTACCACCTTGCAGTTTTAATGAGTCTATTATAGAAGACGAGTGGTCATTAATGGAAGCGATAGGAAAGTCGAAGTATATTTTTACTGCGAAAGTATTGAATGTGAAAAAATTTAAGCTGTACGACGATGGGATAAAGTCGAATTTATACAGAGTGAATCTGCGTCGAGTACTAAAAGGTTCGTTGAGTGATTTGAGGGTAAAGGAGGGCACGGGAGAGTCGCAGAGTGGATGGACGTTAGCTGTGGAGAAGATACGAGTGTTGGACTCTTGCGCGCCTGGTCCGCGACCGCGACTGTCTGCAATATTCTTGTGCAGCGGAGTGCGGGCTGATTCGCAGAGAGGACCCAGTCCTCGTCTCCAGCTGCTTACCGATCCGGTGCCACTGACGCTTTATCATTTGGATAGAATCAACGCAGCGGTCAAAGGTAAGATTAAAGATGACCAAGATAACAGCAATAAAGATTTTTGTACTTTTAATAGTAATCCAACAGGAATTTTCATGATATTAATACTTCAATATTTAAAGCATTAATGAGATCTGTTAAAATCAAACTTACGACAAATCTATTGCAAAATTTATGAATATTTTGAATTCATAAAAAATGCAACTGTCATTGATAAATATTTAAGTTGATACATCAGTATTACTAGCATACACGGATCTTCACATCGCGTCAAAGCAAATAAAGCATCAGGTGTGTTCTAAATAATGTACAATACATTGTCAGAGCAGACGAAATTCAAATGCCCAGAAATGTATGTTGCGCAATCTACTTATACATAACTTTTTACACACAATACTTCACAGGAGCAGCTTTTTTGCTTATTTACGTTTAATTGAATGGTAGTAAAGAAGCTTGTTGGCGTAGTAGATAAGCGCCGCGGCCCGCAATCGTTGTTGTTTAGAAACTTTCACAAGAGTCGGTCAAGGGATGGATGACAAAAAAATTATTATCTCGAGTTGATCCTGGCAGCACTTGCAGTCGTTAATACCCCCACATTGGGCTAGCGTGGAGGGCCATGTCCCATTCATATTGACTATTCATAAGGAAGGCCTGAACCCCTGCAGTGGGGGCGTAAAGGGCTGATGACGAAACAGCATTGATATTAACATCGTCATAAGGTAAATTTTGTAGGGGAAATGAATGTTATGGAGGAACTTAGTGCCTGTATTTTTTTTCTCTGTCTATATTTAACAGTAATTTATGCGATTCTAAAGGTTTTAGCGGTCAAGCTGACAGAACAATTATCCAATATTGAGACAGAACAATTAGTGCTTGAAATTTCACAATATAGCTGTATTATTCTCGTACGACGCACTCGGTGAGAAATAATCTTTTTATTTTTAGGTTTTCATATTATTTCTCTCTGTTCCACTTTTCGAATGTGTATTAGTGAAGGCCAATAAAAATGATTTCTTTCAATTAAGATGTTGAATCGACCGGTGCTGAGTAAGCTCTAGTTTAGCATCGTATTGTATACAATAATAATATAATAATGTGTGGGCGCTGTTGTATCCATAATGTACGACAGGGCATTAAGAGCCAATTTTGATCGACATCTCGACAACTGTTCGTTAAGTTAATGGAGTGAATGCTATCGCTGCGTTTGTGCCTACACCGCTGCTGGGTCGGCAGCTAGGGTTGACGGTTCCCTTATTATTTTTCTAAACTTATAATGTTATTATTCTTTTTTTTGACTCGCATATATTACAACAAGTTTCGTATCAAGCTACAAAAAGAGACGCATGTAAATCGTATAACACCTAGTTATAATATTTTTAAATATTTGGATTTGTACTCGTATTAACTTTATTATGCTAACAATACATTTGTGTTATACAAAAACAAGTCAGCACGAGTACCTAATCAAATTATGAAAAAATATGTACATAATAAAAGATAAATCACGAACACTTTTTAATATGGTGGAATTGTTGTTTTTTATGTTGTTACTTCAATTATATATATTTATATGTTGTTTAGTTTATTAGTCAAATAAATTGATACAAAAAAACTGAACTTTGAATGGAGATATGGCGAATTATTAAGAAAATATCGAAAAATAGAAAAAGGCTATATAAATCCTTTTTATAAATATTTTTTCTTCGGCAGCCCTACCAATGGTAGTTACGTACGTAAACATAAATACACAGGGATCAATCAATAGGCACTCGCGTAAACCTGGCATTGTAACAGTCGAGGTCTTTAAGTTAACAAATGATAGTTTGCTAACGGAGATTTAACATACATTACTTGTTTAAGAAAAAAAATCTCATTACATCATGCAATAAAAGGGACAAATGAAGAAACTAACATTATTAGTTTTCATGTTTTCTACAAATCTACAAGTATACGCGCAATATACTCCTCGTGTTCGGTGACGATTAACGCAACTATTTATGTGTAATTGAAAATAATATATAATTAAAAATATAATCATTTCAAGGCGCTAGATGACGCAGTGGTTAGCGCACTCGGTCTGCAAAACGGTTGTTAAGCAAATTTCGCAATATCCGGTTTCCTAACAGAGTTCTAATTAACCTTTCCTAGTTCAGAAACGTATCAATAAATTGAATCTGCTAAAGCGTAGTACACGTAGGTTACTTAACACAAACTTACAAATTTTCAAGGTCAATTATATATGTATATAACGCGCGATTTGTTTAGGTTGAAAATTGATTATATAAATTTGATAAATTACGATAAGTTGTTGTAAGTTTTGTTGACTGTACCTGTATTTATCTTCTTTGTGTCATTATTATGATTAATATTGTCACATCTTTTAAATTCTTCTTAACAAAATAAACCAGAATATTGACAAATTAATTACCTAATTATGTAAGCATTATATTTTTATTCATTATTTTAGTAACCTCACGATAGTAACGTCTAAACATTATAAACTTCAATCACATATAACTTGTAAACATATAATATGTATAATATTCTTGTCTAAAATTGGATACCTGACGTTAATTATTTTTAAGTTACTTGTGAGTTCACACACACACTTATTTTATAATTAACGTTATTAAAAGTTAATCTTTCATAGAAAACTGTTAATACACGCTTCAGGTGTATTTATGTACAGTAAATACAGAATCTTCAATTTAATAACACAAAATGTTAATTATAATAATTTAACAAATCGTCTCAAGCCCCAGTGCCTCAACTCATCAAGTTCCAAATCCGTTAAGACAAAATAATGTAAATAATATTATGAACGCTAAGATGCTCTTTAATTGAATCCGCTGCGGGTCACGGATAGGAAAATTTATTCCAAGTCAAACATCCCGTAATAAATTTTATTGCGAAAACCATTTTAACCTAAAAATTCCAAGAAGATCCAATTTAAGCCTCGCATAATCCGTCGACTAGATGGGTATCGTAGTCGCCCGAGGCTTGGGCTAGCTATGGCACGGCATACGTGAGTATTATCTTGATGCTTCATAGTATCTTTGTTATGTTAAGTTCTTAGGTTAGTTAGATGGCGCCGCTTACTTACTTCAGTGATACGTATCAGTCCACACAACTCGTGAGAATCCCTGCAGATAATGCACCAGACTGCACAATGAATAAATTCCCAGTAGTGAAAGTATTTTTGAGAAGAGAATTCCTACATATTGTTTGATAATCTATTGATTTTAATGTAAGTACTGAGAAGAAATCGATATTTTTTTTATATCATATTATCTTTATCTTGACGCTGGATTGTGATGTAGGTAGAGCCAGAAGACACTGTCCAGATATGTTTCTTTAACCTCGTCGATCTCATAGATGTTCGATGGTTTTTATGACTTCTTTTTTATATTACCTTTCAATAGCATGCAATTGATTTGGTCGCAAAGTTCAAGTCCTTCTGCAGCTTTTAAATCCTTCTTTTTCTCATTGTATATCAGTTTTGTCATTCTATCATCCGACATTCCTTTCACACGTCTGAACCAACTAAGCATAGCTCTGTCAATATTTACTTTACACCAACGTTATATTTCATGTCGATTATCTATAAATAGTAAAAACAAAGTCGATTTTTTATTATTATACAGTGATTCATGATGAATTTTTTGTGTAGAAATACAGGACCACGCAGCGAACTCGCTGGCGGAAAGCTACTAAATACCTATAGTCTATGTATAATTTGAAAATTAGTAATCGATAAAAATCTATTTACGTAGATTTATTTATTATTAAATATATTTAGCACTTTGATAAATTGAACACCCCATGAAATAATCTAACCGTCATTTTCCATTTTAATATTCTCAGTTGTTTATTTAATTAACATGCAAAGTGAAACTTTTTATTCTACTACATCAAATATGATGATTGATTTTAAAAAACTTGTTTAACTTGTGATACTGCTCGAAAAAGTTTTAACGTTAATATCAAGTTGGCTATGATTTAATCTGCTTAATTGCATTGGCTGCATTATTGGAAGAGTTCACGCGACGTCCGACGTTTGAGATGTGGTAATATTAAACCTAAATATGTCGCAATAAGTGCCATATCGAACAGTCATCGCTATACATCAGGCTTAGCGTTTTACCGAGCTGTTCATATCTGAAGTCAGAATCGGGGGAGGCGTTATGGAGTGTAGAGAAAGTAATGGCCAAGTGCATTCGTCACGATAGCACTGCACCGCACACGAAGGCTGCAATGATAACATTATTTCGTAAATTTATTGGTAATAAATAAACACTTATTCAGTTATTTTATGTTTTAAATCCAGTAGTTATGGTAGTTTTTTGACATTTATTATTATCATCATTATTCGGCAAGTCAAAACCTTAATCTATATAGTTATTAAGATCTCTCAACAAATAGCTCAAATTACTGCACAGACATAGCTGAAATTTGTCAAATTAATCGATGTTACGACGTAAAAGTTCTCCAAAAAAGTATTTCGACAAATTATTAATTTGGGCGATAGCGTTTTTTGAAACAAAACAGATAAAATTATGTTAGAATCGCTGGTAAAACCTGGGAGGAAAGCTAGTAAATTGTGAATTACTCCGATCATTGGTGAAGAAAGCCACATAATCCACTGGTTAATTTTTGAGTTTATAACGTTCAGACAAAGACTTTATAATAAATACGTTTTATAATAAACAGTGATTGTTGTTTGTTACTTGTTTTTTATCCATCCATAATATCAAAATATCCATCTGTATAATTTTAAAGATAAGATGAAAACTAATTGCCAAAAAAAATGAATTAATTGAATTGTCAAATAGTAGTGCTATTCTGCTAATATAGCCTTCAATATAGCGCGGACGCAACATTACAGGCATCAAATTAAATTGATTTCAAAAAGTAATAAAGTTTTTCTATTTCAAAAGTAGGCTACGGTACGCTTAGTAAAACGGTACAGTTAGGAAACTATTGTTTTGTGGGTAGTTGCTGCAATAATGCAACTGATAAGTAATGTGTAGGTTTAAATAAATAGACCGTATTGAGTCTGTGAAAAATGTTAAAAAATATAAAGTGCGACATTGTATTATTCGTCAGAAAGTGGCGGCGGCGTCGCACAGACTCGCCCGCCCACGTGCGTGACACTTTCCAAATTCTTCGTGTAAGCTCTTGCAATCACATATGTTAGTGTAGTTTAGCTACTTTTTTTAAATAAATCACTAATATTTGTATTTCATTATCATTAAAGAACAATATACATATATAGAATCAAGATCGTTGATATATCTTCAGCATTTATAAAAAAAGTTATATTTGTTTGAAAGTTATGTATAAGATAATAACAATGTTAGAACTATGGTTATATTATTGGACTTAGGTATTGCGTTAAATTCAATTCTGAAATATATCCACTGTGTTATATTAACTTCGCAAGTAAAGGACTAATTAAAATACGTAATTTACTATGTAATTAAGTTTTAAATAAAATAAAGATGTTTATATGATCTTATAAAATAATTGAGGATTATGTTACTCTTGTGTATTAATAATGGAGTTACAACTTATACACTAAAAGCTTCTGTAGAAATTGCTACTTGTTTTTGTTTTATGCTTTATAAAAGTCAAATTTATTACTAAAGAGAATATAAAATGATTTTAAGTGTAGGTGAGTAAACATGCATCAATAGCAGGCTTCTTAGAAACAAAATGACACGTTTTTTTCTTTTATCTTGGTTCGCGATTCATTTTGAATGTGGGCAGTACAAACTTGATAATATTTTACTCCTACCAGTTCTGTGTATTATCATTAGTAATTAGCATAATATAGCAAACAAAACTCTTTTTCTTTTAACCATATCTTAGTTCTATTATTTTGTAGCTCCTTAAGCTTATGACATTAAATAGCATCTTATAGATTCTCCTATTTTATAGTAAACAAGGATATTAAGGTAAATGGTGCTTAATTAGGAACGCTATCGATTCTAACAATGTAATTATTGTAGATATCCCAATCACGAACAGTAGGTATGGAGGCTGTAATTAACTTGTGGCAATCTCGAGTACCTTCTCAATTTCACGCTTCAAGGCCGCCCAGTTCTTATGGCGCCCCCTTTCGTTCTTTTAACAAAAATATTTCTTTTGTGAAGTAAATTTTCCAGTCTGCTGGAATGAAATTGTGTACAGCTACGTTATAATAGCACTGTTCAGGCTTCCATGAGCCAGTTAGTTTCTGCCTGCAGAGCTCGCTAAATGGAGTGGAGTGGCTTTTCCTATCCTTGTAAATGCAAATACATAACTCGTTAATGAAATGAGTTTGCCACAACAATGCAACGGTATAGTTTTGAATAAAGAATATCTGCTTCTGTATTTTTCATGAAAAATAACACACTAAACAGTTACACTAACAAAATTTTTGAACTATAATATTCTTAAAGGACTTTTCCAGTTTCCACCGAGTGACAAATAAGAACTCTAATTTGATTATTCAAAGCGAAGTCAACGTTTGAAAATGGTAGTAAACATTTGCTACAGCCGGGCGGACTGTGTTCTACGAAGCGACACAAAATTGACCGGCCAGTTCCACCCTCGGTAAGAACATGAATATTCAGTCGTGCCGTCGACAGAACGTTCGGTAATAACTGTTAACTTGGTTCAGGTTATGTCTTTACGTCACTTAGGTAAGACCACCCTTTCTGTGTTTTATTCGTGAAATTTTCGGTTAGTATTTTATTTTTTATTTCCGTACACATTGTATTTTAAAACAAAACAATTATTTCTGGAAATTCACATCTTTCTAAAGTATTGCAAACAGAACAACGTATAAATCAGTTTGACGTTTCTATGGAATGAAGTGTTAAATCAAATGAAATATAACACCGTCTGCTGGTTCAGTGTAGCTAAGCAAAATATTAACGTTAGACCACGTTTGTTTACATTGATGAAGGTTGCATCGAATTGCGAGGTCCCCAGTCTACGCGTGAGGCTGCGCTCGCGCACGCGTCTCGGTGGCGCCAAAGCCAGCTTGCGCAACGACGCGACACCGCGTTTACGATCTATCTCTATTAAAAGTTTCCACATAAAAAGCCACTGAAATGGCTCTTATTTATATCCACTTAAGTACCAAGTAAAGACTTCAAAGTCAAAGTAGCATCGGCACACTCTCAATAAAAATGAAGCTTCAGTTTTTAGTGTTATTGCTTTACTATTTTACAATAATTCATGCGCAGTTCCATATAAGGGGTGTAGTGAAAAAGCGGGACACGTTTCACCGCAAGAAAAACACAAATGGTCCCAAATGTGTTTCAAACGAGACGATAACTAATGACTACGAGATTTTGTCGTCAGCGGTGTCTGAATCTAAATACGTTTTCACGGCTAGAGTCTTGAGCGTGAAGAAGATAAAGCGCGGGCGAAAACCTCACGCGAAAGTGTTTATGTCATATAAATTGTATATACGTCTTGTTATGAAAGGGGATGTGGCCGAGTTGAGGAGTCACGTATTTTCAGGAGACGAACGCAGTTTGAATGGTGCTATTGTGTTTGTAGACTGGCTCCGGACGAATAAGTGTGCTTACAAGTTGTATAGACATTCCTCTGGTATATTTTTGAGTGATGGTTTTTACGGTGACTTCAACGGTGGGAACGCCCCTCGAATGCGGCTGTTGAACGAGCCTCTCCCACTGTCACTTTACGATTTGGATAGAGTAAATGCCGCGTTGAAAGGTAAATGTTTACAGCTATGAGATGTCGGCTCGTGTAAAAGTTAACGTGTCATCATAAGACGATGGATGACGGGTTATAAAACTTTGTAATAAGCACCATTATTCCTTCTCTAATAATATTTATGAATGCCAGTTTATTTTAACAATCATCATTTACATTTTTTTTTTTAATTCTCGAACCAATTACCTAAATCAATAAAAATATGATTATTCTTTTGAAAGAGTTTTTGACGGCAATTTATATATGATTGCTTTTATCCTTGTTCTCCTTTTTAATGAAACTATATGAATAAAATATATACAAGTCCTTAAAATAATATTCGAATGTATAACAATCTCCTCAACATAAATATTGTCGTGGCTTATATCTCCTCAATTTCTTATATTATATTTAGTAATCCCATAAGTTTGACACCAATCTATAAGAACTTCTACGATTGAATAAGAAACTTATCGAGAAAGCCAGTCAGCCAGCATAGACAGAGCATCTTATTGAAATTGTAAGGTTTATTTTGCTTCAAATGTATTTAGTAAAATACTCTTACATTTAGCAAAAAGTCATAACATTTCGATATCGATACGAATTGGTATTTTATATTTCTTTTAAGTTTATGTCAGTCTTAAATGATTACGAATTCGAATTTTGTTTATGAAATGGGTTTTGTTTTTTGCGGAATTTAATCTAAGATCAAAAGCTACTCGTCTTCCTTGGGATTAACCTCTAAAAGATAAGAAAGACGAACGTTCAACTTTAAGTGGAGAACAAAAGTGGTTGTGTACAAACTTTTGAGCGGTTTGACAGCACTGAGATTTTATCGCATCTGAAGCTTTCGTTTTTTTGTCGGGGGTGAAAAAAAAACATTGTCCCGTGTTTAGAGTTGAGGATTTTTATCTTTTTTGTTTTACTCAAATTTAAGGACAGTTGTTTTTTGGATGCTTTTTCGTACCAAGTTGACTCGTAATGTTTTCTGATTGGGTTTCAGCGAAGCTAGACGAATATTTAGGGTTTAATGACGGACCAAATATTTGCGCATTAATCTAATGATTCTAACTAGTTTTTGATTAGACGATCAATACATTTTATTTCATAGTAAGACACTCTTACATGCATAAGTAGGGCAGATGGCTTGGTGTTAATAAATTTAAGACTTTTGGCAATTTTAAGAGTTACGAGGAAGTAAACTTTGACTAATCACACCTGTTAAAATCGAGCACGGTAAAATAATATATTTACCTATGCATTAGTTGGAATACCTTGAAGTCCCTAATGATCCAAAATTAATGGCTAAAACCAGCTCGTTTGCTCTTATGGGTATCGCAATGTTCTGCAAAATTTTGTATCTGTATTTATTACTTTACGTATATGTATTTATAACGGAAACTCATACAATGGACCAAAGTAGTAATATTTTACGGATATAAAAATAATAATAATATCAAGAAACAAACCATTTAACATTTTTTGAAGTGTGAAAATCGGTAAAGTTAAGTGTTTTATGTAAATGAGATGATGTCGTTGATTTTATGTATGTAGATCAATGTTTTTTACATAATTGTTTCTGTTTAAAGAAACTATTACGGATTCGATTCATTAGTGCTACGGTAAGAACGGTTTTTAAAAAGGCCATTTAGATGTCATTTCAAGAAAACGTGGGAGTAAACTTGTCTACTCTGTACAATTTATTCTAAACTTGGGCTTCTACGCCCCGACTAATTATGGTGTTATGGCAGTGACGTAAATTAGAAGAGAGAATTGAAATTCACAAAGTCGCGGGCAAACGCTAGTAACATGGAGTTAGCGAAGTGTTATAAAGGAACTGAAGTAATAAATTTAATTAACAATTAAGTGCCTCTATTATTAATGTAAGTAGTTCTTTAATAGATGATTAAGAATAATGAAATAAATATCAAAAAAGAGGCTTAAACACTGTCATATCAATATACGTTCTCAATACAAAATTTCATTTATTGATAGATGTCATCTATGTAACTAAACGTAACTTTAGAGATATGAAAATAAAAAGTTGATCAGTTTTTGCGAATGTTGTTTACCTTTCCGATGGTGTATGAAGTAAATAACGAACCATGGGCCTTTATCACGATCTCTTGCAAAAGCAATGTCCGAAGAATACATTCGTTTAGTTAGTTTAGTCGTAATTCTCATTACGTGACGATTCCCGAAGCTTCTGTCACTCGTATTGAACTAATATCTAAAAATCACGTTTACCATTGATGCCATGTTTATAGTGATAATGGAAAACTATGTCACTGTCTAGTGACGTTTGGTCGATTTGGCCTCTGGACACTGAAAATTAAACGAACACTGATAATTGCACATGAATTAAGTGACACTGTGTACTACTGATTCATAAACGAAGCATTCGTACATCTGCGATACCGAATAATCAGCCCAGAAGATACAAAAGCTCAGAAAGCTAGGAACATGGTACATTACTTAGAATCTGCCAGGTTAATAGAGTTACTGTAGTGACGATTGATATTAGTTCTTTTAGCGCAGTTACTACTAACTGAGAATAATAAATAATGTGGTTTTCTTATTATTATTATTTATGTTATTTTGTTTTATTTCGAGTATACTTAAATTTTTCAGCGTTTGTCTCAGTATGTAGACCGTTCAGTATATTTGGTGTACCTTTGACGAATTTCACACTATCTCGTAAGTATTCAGTTACACCAGCAGAATGTGATTTAGCACTTTATCTGGGACATCGATCTGTTCTAAGCTATTAACATAAATAATGACTTGAGAAATGATGAACTAAATTTTATATTATAACTGAGCGGAGTCAATGTTTTTATATCCATTATTTTTAATTAATATGAAGAATTAAGTAGCTATAGCCGACTAAGCATAATATTATCATATTTTAAGTATTATTTATTACGTTTAACAAAATAATATTAAGATTGAAGCTTAAATATACATAAATAATGTTTAAGTAATCTTTAAAGTAAAACAAGATACCTAATCAAAATTTATTGTTATCGTTAGAGACTGCATTTAAAGTTTGATAAAATACAAATTTAATAAAAAGCAATAATTACTTAATCATTTAAACAAGTACCATTAGAAGTAATGTTATTATGCCATTTAGATTTAACAATGAAAAATCTGCAAATAACATACACAAAGATGTCATCAATGATAATGATTATATGATTCTGAAATAATATAAATTACTCAGAAAAATTGTGTTTTAGGTATGTATGAACTAAGTGAAAAATAAAAAAGATGATCACATTTGTACAATAATTGAAAATAATACAGTTAAACTGCAGAAAACAAGGCCTGTATATGACAATGACGAGCTTTTTTATTATGACTTGTTTAAATTTGTGACACCATTATTTTTTATGACTTTTTGTTATGAATTGTTTAAATTTGTGAGACGGTTATTTTTTGCTTTGTCTTTATTACAATAAAAACTATCGCTAGTTCTACTGTTTAATCATTCAAATCTCCAATAACGTAAGTCTACATTATTGAAATTTAAAAAATTTAAATAAAAAGCAGCATGATGTCGGGACTACTGAATAATGCCTATTTGTCAACCTGTTTATAAGTAGTAATCTAGCATAAGGAACATTAAAATTTTATGGCACTTTCATGCTCAAATCTATTTGCATAATTAGGGAGTAGTTACATTTTTTATATAGCAACATTATGATTAGTAATTACAAGAGCACTTGGAAGCGAATCAACGGGATTGTCATTAAAACTAATACAAGTCGGTAACAGGCTTTAGAACTGTTTTACAACCTAATAGGGGAGTGGTTGTTCCCAGAGTCGTCAATGTTTTAATCATCTATGTCACAGTAATGTCGACTTTATTGTCTTCTCGGAAAAGTTATTTTACTTTAAGCAGTTTAATTGATCTACAATAAAATCAATTACCTTATTTGTCATAATCTGTTTCTCCTTCTTTCTCATTTGATTGCCCTGGTTCGTTAGGATCAAGAATTCTACTCCATTCATTGATCTAACATAAATTTCTAATTCAAGTTTTTATTTAATATGGAACAAAATGGTTTGGTAACTACGTTTTCCAGAGTATAGAATCATTCGTCTGAGTATAGAATCAGAATAATATCATTTTCATTTCTACCAAGCTTCAAGGATTCACAATAAGATGAAGATTTTTGTTGTTATTCAAAAGACTTACCATGATATAAAACTTTGAATGTATGAATAAATCACATCGACATAAAAAATCACTTGGCTATTGTGATATATGAAATAAAATACAAGAATGTAACACAGTTTGTTTATATTGAAATATATAATATGATTATAATAAATCCAACGGACAAATAATTACAATTTACTCTTAGGTGTATTTTTAACCATTGCCCGGAGATTACGACGCAATATTTTACCGCTTCCCGTTTTCGGAATCTCCTCAATAAATATTACACCACCCCTTAACCTTTTCCATGGAGAAACCTGAAACAGGTAATTTTGGTTATATTGGCAAATCTAATTAGAGCCTCACTGTTGATCAGTATTAACAAATGTAAAGCAAATAGTTAGAAATATTTTTCATTTTTACATCTTGTTCTTTTGTGCGTCGGCTAATAATGGTATATGATTAAAGTATTAAGTCAATTCAAATAATCCATTTAAACACAGATTTTCTAATTGATAGGAGGTTTTCTGTTTTATGTTTTTTTTTTCATTTAAAATAGATTTCATTATATGAAAAACATTTTACCTTAGTTGTAACAAAGTCAACTATTTCTTTCTCTGTTACAGAACTACCATCTTTCTTAACTATAAATGCTGTTGGTAGTTCACCAGCTGTAGAATCAGGTATTCCTATAACTCCGCAATCTTTTACTGATGGATGAAGCAATAAAATACTTTCTAATTCAGAAGGTGATACCTGAAACCAATTAGCAAATTGTTGCGTTTCTATTATAATATACCATATATGAAAATGTTTGTTTTGAATTACTATGTGAACACCGTGTACATACTTAAACGGAGATTAAAATATAACTAATTGTTTAATCAAAAGTGGCTTTGTGATTTTTTAAATTATTTTTAACATTTTATTAGTATTTCCAAAATAATAACTTCTCTAAGCTTGTTACCTTTTATAATGATGCTTGAGTATATCTATTTAAAAGTCATAGGTATTATTTATCAATTAAATAAGCTTGGATACCTAAAAACCTGTTCCTTAGAAGTACGACCCAATTATCACTTTACTAATGATTTTACAGTCGGTAATTCGACTTACATAACATCAAAGCCTATCAAATGAGAATTAGATAGAATTGAGTATCATTAACTGTCTTAAGTAACAAATAATATTATAGTCGTTTAGGTACAGAAACGATGTCTGTTTTCACTTGTCAGCCTAAAGTCAGTGGACTTGTAGGGACAAGAAGTGAGCAATCAGCTTCGAAATTTGCTTACGTAAATTTTCAGAAACTACCTCGCGGGGAAGGCAGAGAGAACCGAATGCTACAATGTACGGTCCTTACAAACATTTTCACCTCATCCACTTTCATTACTCTTTTCATACATACTCGCTGGTTTTTATGGCTTCTAACCCCTTACCTTCTACGAGCACGCGATTGATTTCCTTTGCTTCTATATCCTTCAACTTTCACGTTGTATATCAGTTTTGTCATTCTTTCTACATGTACTCAAAGCAACGGGGCATGTTTCTGTTGATTTTTACAACTACGCTATCTTTCAACCCAACTCCCTTTCTTATCTTTCATTCCGAATGCGGTCTACTAGCGTTACTCCGCAAATTTTAAGTAAAGAACACACCTCGACTGCATTTATTTATGATATATTATTACATTAACAACTACAATTATGTAGAAGCATTATATTTTTCTTTTCGTTTACTTATTCTATTAAGTATGATTTCTTAGTCAGTAGTCAGTGTTTGTTACCTTTATAAGAAAGTTTAGGTTAGTGATGTGCCGGATCATTAAAAATGTATATCCGCGGATACGGATCCGAATACGGATATTTGGTGTCAAGATCCGCGGATACGGATACGGATCTTTATAATTAATATATTTTTCAAGTTCCTCTAATTTCCACTGTGATTGCTCGTGTAATCTAATGTTTACACTTTATATGGTAGGTAGTACCTACGAGGTACGCAGTATTAATTTACTTTATAAGAATTTATTTTTGGTTTTCTCATCATTTCATTTTTATAAAAGTGATCTTATAACTTTCTTTTATATTGATGTCTTTTTAATTATTTCAGTTGTGATTTTCTCATTTTCTTATATTTATAAAATTGATGTTATAACTTTCTATAATATTGATCTTATTATAAAGATAGTTGATTAGTCACCTTTGAGTTATGTACTATTGGTATAGTAACTTACTACGATAAATGTTTGCAATATAAAGGTGCCAAATATTTTATATTAACAAATAAAAAATACTTGAATTGAATTTAATAGTTTTTTAAATCTCCATTATCACCTTTATATAGCATTTCATCCTATCAATTGAAAATTAATGAGTTAAAAGATCCGTAAAATTTCCGCGAGAAAAGTAACGGATACGGATACAGATACGGATCTTTATATTCCGTCGGATATCCGCGGATGCGGATACGGATACGGATATCCGGAACATCACTGGTTTAGGTGATTAAATATTTTATGATGTGATAGCGCTGTATGTGGAGCAAAATTTTTAAACACTATAGATCAGTATGAGAGTGTAATAAAGGTTATATAGCTACTTAAAAACTTTTTTTTTATTTCATAAATAAATAGTTCATTAATATCTGAGAAATAATGTAGAAATAATAGCATGTCTGCGATTAGTTTCGGAGATATGGTGCTATGTTTGTGGAGCTGTTGTTAGTCGGCCGAAAACGCCCCCTACAAATTCAATGCACTAAGTTACGTTACAAGGTGCCACGAAAGCGAAAAACGTATAAGAGTCTGAACCATCTTTGTAATATCTTTGTTTAATATAATTCATATAATGCCATATGTATTTTAACAAATTATCATAGTATATTTTCCCTACGTTTTTCAAGTTTTCTAAGCGTAATATTTTCCAAATTAGTGTCATAAAATTATAAATGGTTCATATTATCCGAATAAATAAGAGAAACCCTTATCTTCACTTGTATGATACAACCCTATTACCTCTTGCTTAATTTGAATGGTCTATAATATTCCCAAATAAATTTGGTAGTATCCTAACTTATACTCACCTGCCACGCTTTGTATTTGATCAGTTCTTTGATCCTGTCTACTATAAAGAAGTAACCTTCCTCATCATAGTAAGCCACATCACCAGTTTTGAAGTATCCATCTTCGTCGTAATCGTCTCCACGTTCCTTGCCAACGTAACCATCGAATAGAGATAGACCCTTAACACAAACTTCACCAGGTTTGTTCGGTCCTAAAATATTTCTTGTTTCTACATCTACTACCTGAAAAATAAAACATTTTAAGATAATTGCTGCATATAACAAAGATAAAAAGAGGCGGAAGTTCTAGAACCACTTCATGGCGTCATAATATTTTTGTCTCATTACTGAAACTTTTATGAAGTATTTATATTTTCATACAGAAAGACGGAAGAAATTCTCAATATCTAATAGCCTCATTACTGATTTTTAATTCTTTGAATAAATGAACACTACAAATTAAGCTATTCAATAATTCCTACTCCTGTTGTGCAATATTTCGTGGTAATTAAAGGTTTATGTTAGTTAAGTTTCGTTTCCTCAGCTCATAAACTAAAGTTGATAATATCATTGGTGGTGTGAAATGCAACTATTTATGATGACGACCTTTAGTTTAGTGTTGGTGTTATGTTTGGGCATTATCTTGATATAACTTCATGTTGTAATACAACCGTTCTGTTAATTATATTGTAGATTATTAAATGATTCGTAAAACTATGACTGTGATGTTCATCCTCATAAAGTACTCTTGAACAGCTAACTATGAGTACCTACTACTTTTGTAAATAAATAAATAAAGATCCAGACATCACGTACACTATACAGCACATTAGGTTATACAAAGCTGTCATTTCTTCACTTGATTTTAAAACTTAATGCTTTATAGGTAGACTTCGAAATCAATTGCAAATGCTCAAATATCAAATTAAAAACTTCATTGAATTAAACTATTTTGAACAGTACTACTTTTAACGGAACCTACCGGTAAAGGATCATATGAGAACAAAATATTTCTACAATATATGAGATAAAACCGTTCAATAGTAGCAATAACAATATAGACATAATAAGTTTAGTATAGATATAATTAGTGCTCGTGATAATATATAAGAAACGAATATAAATAGTAATTTTCTACATTCACCGGGAATTGAACCTGGGACCTCAGAAATGACATAGTGCAAGCCGCTACACCACTGAGATTACCAACTATATTTTTTTACCTTCAATGTGACTCCTTCTAAAACTTTTCCAACGCTCCCTTGTTTAGGGATTGAATCGATTTCTCTGGTTACAATTCCAGTCATTTCAGTCATCCCATATCCTTGAGTAACATGACGTCAGTTTTTGAATCTGAAAGGTTAATTACCCTTTGTTATAAAATAAACAGAATATTTTTGCTTGACTAAATCTGTTTCGTTATTTTATAATAAACTCTCTAACACTATTACTCATTTTTAATCCTATAGAATTACACATATCTATGCAACTTGCTCTTACCACAGTCATATTTAACTTTATGTATTTTTTTTTTATTATGTGTGATTGAACTTATGATAAATTGAATTAAAATTTCATGGTCATTGAAAATCAGTTTGATAATTAGTCTCTGAAAGTGATAACAAAATACTTATTTATTTTAGATAGGAAAACTTTAAACAGTATATACACAATAGAAATAAATTATCTATGTATGATCCATTTACAAGTTTTCACTTATAATAACAAAGAGAGAATGGAAAATAATGTTAACAAATAAATTAATACTTATTGATTGAACTAGGAGTTGGTTATCAATAGCCTTATAAATTGTAGGATTTATATTAAATATATTAATTGATGGATGTTGGCAAAGTCATTTAGTTTAAAATCAAATGAGAGAATTATACATTATTACAGTTAAATCGAACCTGGTTTTAACTAGAGCAATTACATCAGAATCCAAAGGTGCTCCGCCAGAGTGCATAAGCTCTACCGAGCTTACATCGTATTTATCTACATTTGGAGACTTAGACATAACTATTAACGTTGGTGGAGCGATCATTAAGATTCCAACCTGGAAAAGGAAATCACAGGGTAATATTAATTTTGACAGAATTTAGTAGAGGAAAAGATAGTAATTTCATAAATTTGCAGTGGTTAATATTTAGCTTTTGACTGGCGATTGTAGTTTTCTATTCAAAGGAGTTTTATAGTAATTCCACTTGTTTGAATAATGACAATTTATACTATGACCATCCATAAAGCCTATTTATACCTGATTGCCCAATTCTACTACAATAACTGTAAAAAGAAGGCATTTAATACTAATATTAATATGGTAAATGCAAAATTTCATAGATTTCCATTTACTTGTTTTAATTTAATTTAAAATTTTGTTGGTTTCATGAAAAACTATACAATTTTATTAAGAAAAATAACACCAAAATTATGTAGCGTGTCAAAGTAAGTGTATTTACCTTGTATTTTTGAATGACTTGTAAATAAATATTTTCATCAAGTATTTACCTTGTATTTTTGAATAACCTGTAAATAAATATTTTCATCAAATCGTTCTAAAAATATAATTGTACGGCCAAATGATAGCCCATCAGTTAAGGTAAGAACACCCATTGTGTTACACCACGGTGCAACTGTTAGTACAGGCAGATCTCTTGTAGTTAACCTAAAACAATTGTATGTAGTGAAAAATCGCAGATTAAGTGTAATTAAAATTATAATTACCATAATATTATATTTTTATATTTTCTTTCAAACTTTAAAAAATAGGTTTTTATAATGTGTTAAAATTCAATAAATTATATGAAATGTAATATCAATCGTTCAATTGACACTACAATAATCGATATAACTAAAATTACGCCTAAGGCAGTTTGAAGCGCAGTGCGCTCTAAGCCTAAGCGTTATCCTTTATGTTTTGTGGTTTCACATTCAGTAATTCATCAGTTTTAAGGTTTAATACCAAATATTGTTACATTAATAATAACCATACCGAAAGGTTTAAAACCGGTAGATATTTCCCTTTGACCAGTATGCTTAGCATGATGAACTCTTAAGAAGCTCGAGAAACGGACCGAGAGTGAGATATGCCTAATAGTCCAAACAATATCTCACTCTCAGTCTCTCTCTCGCCCGCTTCTCGAATCTCTCGAGTACGTCATGTTACAGTGGTAAGCAGCTAACACTATAAGTTATAGCTTGGAAACATTGCTATAAACATTTTACAGCAGTGTTATAATTTAATTTAAAGTCTAACCAACATATATAGTCTACAAAAAGTTGCTCACAATAAAATCATCGTATATTATGAGTTAATTGCTTACATAATTCACTTACTGTTGTTGATATAGGGTTGTAATTAAATTTAAATTTGTTATTCTCGCTCCTTTTGGCAATCCAGTGGTTCCAGATGAATAAAGTATTAATGAGGTTTTAACTTTACCTGTAAGAAGTTTCAATTTATTAGACTAATTTTATTTGTGAAGAATGGCAATGCTTAACCGATGTTCCATGAAATTCGAACTTTTGACGTATGTCATAAAAATAAAGTTATCATCATTTACACATTAATTACTTTTTGGCAAGTTTTCAAAGTTAAATGTCCGATATTTAAGGCAAGATTTTCTTTTCAAGATTTCATCGTGAAGTAGTAGTACTAAAGTTGAACAAGGTATTGTTGTTGACTTTGTTTTAAATTTTTTTTGGTACTATTTTATCGTTATATATGTAATAAACGAATGAAAGTATTCGCTTTGTTGTTTTAATCCCTACAAATAATGGTCATAATGCATGTCTTAATAATAAAATATATATATATATATTGAGACATTATCTTTTTAAAAACCTTGCCATTTTAAAATAAAAAGTTGGAATTTAATAAACATTGTTATTTTTAATAGATTAAATCTTACCTTGATGATCAGCTGGTGTTAAATTATTTAAAAGTCTTCCAGAAACTAGTTCATTGAAACTTACTCCGTTTTCTGTCGTTTTTGTGTAAATAAATACATTAGGGCAGAACTCCTTCAGTGTGTTGTAATGAAGCTTATATGCGTTCGGAGATATAAAACAATATTTTGGTTTTGTGATGTTCGCTGCGTGAATTACTTCATCTGCAATCAAGCACTTGTTTCAATTCAAAATTCATGTTCAAATTGATATATGAATAAAATATATAATTAAAAATGTTGCTTCGATGCGAAGTGAATCGGCAAGAATTCGGAACGTAAATAATATATATTAGTCCTTTATATCAATTTACAAGTCTTTCATAACTCGATTAACTTTGATTTGATTGGCATCAGATTCAGTCAAATTGCGCTCGACGTATTTATTGTATTAAGTAAATGTTGTATTGGATTGGATATGGAGAACATTTGATTGAAACCAATATATTGAACTTCCAAATTGTAATACAACAGTGCTGTTCTGTTATAAAAAAAAACAACGTCGAGCTCGACTTCAAATCATAGCATAGAGATCCAGTCGAATATATTCAAAAGGTAATAAAAATAAAGGTTTTATTTCATTGAAACTATGCTGTCAATCGACGTTGAATCCAAATGTTTTTAATATAATAACTGTATTGAAAGTTGGGCGTATTTTGATTAATTTCAATGCCATAATGTGAGGTGAATCGAAACTGTCATCATATATGGGGAAGTCATAAATAACAGGCATATGATGTTCTTATCACAAGAACTGAAGGTAAAATCCCTTCGTGTCCATTTAAGATAATAGTGGATTTTTAGAGCAAATGAAATATTCATAGATTTTCACAGTTTAGAGACAGAGTTCACAACTGAATAGATGATATATAACTAAATAATTGTAAATGATTCGACGACATTATTTTCCCTAAAACGAATAAGCCACAGTGTCAGTTAGAAAAACAGTATCACTGCCATCGGAATATTTGAAACGAATTAAAACGAAGATGAAGTCGGTTTGTTTATATAATTCAATTAATTGAATTATAGCCTCATTAGGTGGATTATCCCCACAATAAAAAATATAATTTCACCGACCAGGTATTTAACATTGTGTAATGATAAAATATTATGAGTGATAGAAGTGAGATAACCGGGGTTTTGGTAGATATGAATGAACCACTGATAAGAACTATGAAACAAATTTATCAACAGTGTTAACATAATAAGTAAAATATTCAATGTCATTATCAAAAAGAAAAAATAATAATATATTGCACTGAAATTTTTACTGATATAAATAGTTGACTTCATGTGTTATTTAGTTGAACTAATCATTTGAATATAATATATCCTACTTCCTACTATTATAAATGCGAAAGTTTGTGGGATGGATGTATGTATGTTTATTACTCTTTCACGCAAAAACTATTGAATGGATTTTGATGAAATTTGGTATGGGTATAATTCTAAGCTATAGTCTACTTTAAGATTAATCTATAGTCTACTTTTAAACCAACTGAACAGTTCCCTAGGGACCATACGAGCGAAGCCGCTGGCGGAAGCTGGTTTAATTATATGTGATAAATTCTGCGTTCACAGCGACACAAGAATCTCCGGCTGTTGAAATTCCGCCTCACTTCGATAGAGGTTTCACTTTTATCATGATTTTTTTAGACTGTTGTTTTTATTAAGTAATTACCTTTTGTATAAGCAATATTGATAAACGTTATCACTGCCCCCACGTAGTATACCGCTATCTGCGTTATTAAGTACTCAATTCTGTTCTCGCTGCATATTGCTACTATATCTCCTTCTTGCACACCACGTTGTATAAGCGATGAAGCGACGCTCAAGATTTTGTGTGCCAACTCGTTGTATGTAATTACCTCACCTGTGGTTCCATTTATCTGTGTAAGAAATAAGTAAATAACCACTCTTAGGTATATAGAAATAAGTGTTATAATAACTCTGCTTATTATAATAAAATACGACATTATCCTGACATAGAATAGTATTAATAATAAAAGGCTGTCACAAACATTATTGTGATTTCGGGGTAGCCGCTTTTCATAAAGATAAAAACCAACAGAATTTATTCTTTCATTTTTGAATTGTATTTATTATTGTAATTGTTTCTTTGTCATTCTTTCTTTTGATTAATTATATTAAAAAATTCACTTTTTGTGACAGTATTACAAGTACATACAAGTACAAAAAGTAGCCAATCTTTTGTAATACTCATGAGAAATACTTCATTGTTAGGCCTATTATTATCCCCAATGCTAAGGCAAATTCCTTAGAGTAGCTCGGTGGCGTAGTGGATAAGCGCTGTGGCACGCGATCGTTGTCGTTAAGCAACTTTCTCAAGGTTCAGTCACGGGATGGGTGACCAAAACAAATTATTATCTCGAGCTACTCCGTGCTTCGGAAGGCACGTTAAGCCGTTGGTCCCGGCTGCATTTGTAGTCGTTAATACCCGCCAATCCGCATTGGGCCAGCGTGGAGGGTCATGGCCATGCTCCTTAACCATCCATAAGGAAGGCCTGAGCCCCTGTAGTGGGGACGAAATAAAGGGCTGAAGATGAGGCCTTTCTAATGTAGGAAATCGAATAGGGAGAACGGGTCACTCCATGCTCCACGAGACCACCACGCGTAGCATGACTAAATCGAGAATGTTTTGTCTTCCCCCTTAACGTCACATTTCTTAGATGTGCCCAAACGATACCTCACTTTCGACTCGAAAAAAATGACACTTGGTGTAGACAAAGCATAAATGTCGAGTTGGCTATGCTACACGTGCATGGGTGTGACCGCCTATGACTTTAACTAAAGGATGATTTTAGCTATCGCACGTTAGGATGACAATGTCACTAACCAAAAACGACGTATTTTTTACTTTTGGCAACATTTTTCTTTGGCGTAGGGACGATACGTTGTTTAGAGGGGCGGATTCTTTGTACATTGTGTCACTATCGTTCTCAGCGTACGCTATGTTATGGTGATATTCGCTTCGTTTTACTTTAATAACGACGAACGAATGATGATAACTATTCTTTTTTTAGGTCATCATTGACATTGATATTACAAAGATAGTACAAAGAACAGATGAGATCAAATCAGATTATGATCAAAATAAACCAACTTACAATAGGTGGTATAAGAGGAGACGCGTGAAGTTTTACAAAGAGTTCTTTGATTACAAAACAACTCCAAAAGAAGTGCTTTGATTTGACATAAGTATCATCAACTGCGTCATTTATTCTAAAATCTAAAAAAAGACATGTCGAGGTAGTAAAACGAAACGAATTAACATCATAAAATTGTTAAGATGTCGTATCCTATGGCTTAGGTAATGGTTAAAGGGTTAGGCAGTCGCACCTCAGAAGGTTAGGCCTTCTATCTCTAAATTTCGTCTATTTTCGAAACTAATACAACTGTGTTCGACACGTTCCACAGATTTCCGCATTTTCCAATAATTTAATATTATGTTAGTCACATTCTTTTTAACCTGCTAGCATCAGCGATAAAAAAGAAAAATATCTATAAGAATATTTCCACTGGTCGTTTGTTCCTACTGTACAGAAGTACCTATGTTCTTTTAACAATATTAAGCCATACGAAAAAAAATTACACGAATAACGTTTTTTTTCTGTATAATAATATCAAAACTATGAAACAAACTCACCAAGGCAGCTTTGTTTTTATGTTGTAACAATTTGTCTACCAAACATTTGCCAAAGTTCATATGTGAAGGTATAACAAAGTTTAAGCTATTGTGAAATATAGCGCCATAGTGTTAAATATGTGTATAATAAATATAACAATTTAGTTACGTATATAAATATAATCGATTATGTAAAATATGTTGCTTTGTTATTAGTATTCGATTCGACCATTTTTCGTTCGCGCCATTGCAACACGTATCCATTTTTGAGTACTGGTATAACAGAAGCAGAGAGGGGAGGTAGTATAAAAACGGTTGAAATGGCGCGGAGCGGCACTATGTCGTAGAACGTCAAAGTGAACGTACATTATTAAGTGGCTTGTTATTGAGGGTTAAAAACTGTGAGACGTGTATTTTGTGGATCTGGAAATTAAATGATTTTATAAATAAGTTACAAAGTGGTTTGATTGTGAATAACTCAGAAGTGGGATAAAGGGAGCTTGGAAAAACGAAACAATAAAAAGCTCTCACTCCACGCTAATGTAAGTACTTTTATTACCATTATTATTATGATTCTTTTTAAAAGAGAAAAACCTTTTAAAATTTAAAGTTTATGAGGGTATATTTTTTTTTTTTTTTCTTTCTTTTGTTGGAAAGCTTAATTTTTCTTTTTCTTACAAACAGTGATTAATGAAGTGGCGATATTGTATTGCATGTTTGCCAGGGCTACTCTCTGGGCATGCAATTCATATGATCGCAGACTCTTCTTGCGCTTTGCCAGGGCAACTCTCTGGATGCGTCAGCTGAGTCTTACACTAAATTTAATGCCTGACTCGACCATGAATTTTCGATTTCTGTCTTTCATATATGCCAGGGCTACTCTCTGGGTATGCAAGATAGCGATCGCAGTGACTTTCCTAACGCTTTGCCAGGGCAACTCTCTGGATACGTTAGGTTGTCTCAATTGAAAAACTGACTATTTTACTTGACTATCAACCTTCTCGATTTCTACCTTCCATATTTGCCAAGGCTACTCTTTGGATATGTAAGATAGCGATCGGTGATGCCACTAGCGCTTTGCCAGGGCAACTCTCTGGATGCATTAGTTGGTATTCTGCATTGAAGATACAATTTGCTTTACCTACTTATGACTTCGAATTGAATTAATATTATATTTTAATGATTTTATTTATTTTGTGTTTTCGAGATCACGATGGACGATAATAATGAAGCTACGAATAGAAATCGAGAAAGACTTGAGACACGCGATACGAGAGTATCCCCATCAATTCTTGCTGAAATAGAAGGGAACAGTGATGATGAACTGATGCTTAGATACCGGTTATTGAGCGATGAGCTAGAGCGACGTTCAACAAACCGTGTCAACGCGGACGATGAGCTTGAGCGCCGTCCGCGATCAAGACGAAATGAGAACGATGAGCTTGAGCGACGTTCTTTCACAAGAAATAGGGTCGAGGATGGTGAGCTAGAGCGACATTCTCGATCCATCCATAGAACTGAGAATAGAGAGCTAGAGCAACGATCCCGATCACGAAGTCCTAGGGACGATGAGATTTTGCGATCTCTTACGAATGAGGTAAGACAACATCGAATTGTTACGTCCAACCCTTTTTCCGCAGAATCTAATAGAGGATTAGAACACCATAGACAAAGCAGAATTAGAAGATCCGACACTGAAACGCTAACCCACACTCCGAGATTGCGAACACCTACAACAATATTACGTGAACCTGACTATCAACGAGATGATGTCTCGCCGCCTCGACGTCGTGTCAGGTACGAGAACTACGATATTCCACCTAGTGATAATATCTTGAATCAATTCGTGAAGGCACTTAAAGATTTTGCTTTGTTAGGAAACAATAAGATTATGGCCGGGAATAACGTGATTCCAGAATTTGATCCACTGTCCAAAAATCAAACTGTTGCTAATTGGATAACCAAGGTTGAAGAATGTGCGGAAATTTATAAATGGAGTGAAAGTGAGATGATTCATTACGCCTTACCTAAACTGGTTGGTCTTGCAAAATCATGGTATCAAAACTTGCCAACTGTTCGTTATACATGGGCTCAATGGAAGGTTAAGCTTAATGAATCATTTCCATGTCGCGAAAACTATGCTGATCTTTTAATTGAAATGCTTTCTTTAAGGGTTCGTTTTGGAGAGTCACTAGAACAATATTTTTATTCGAAATTAAATTTACTAAATCGTTGTAAGATCACCGGTAATCAGGCCGTAGATTGTATTTTACAAGGGATTGATGATAGAAGTGTGAAAATAGGTGCACAAGCAGCTCAATTTGACTCTCCGGAACAAGTTCTTACGTATCTAAAGACTGTTAGAATCGGAAATAATAGAGACTTTGTTTCTAGTTCTAACAGATTTAGGCAAGATAGGAAACATGTACGTAATAACTCATCGGGGAATAATAAAACTCTATTGGGAGGAAGTAAGCCACCTATTAAATGCTTTAATTGCGGATTAGAGGGTCATCCTAGCTTTTTATGTTCTAAACCAATTGAAAAGTGTAGCAATTGCCATAGAATAGGTCATAAAGTCACGTCTTGCCCTTATATTAACAAAAATAATGAACACCCCATTAGTAGTGAGAAACAGGTTCTTAAGGTTAGCATAAATGATATCTGTTGTACAAACCCGGCACAAGAACAAAATAACCCGATTAATGAATTGAATTTTGATAATGATTTGAAACTGGTAGACATGTCCCGTAAATATTTTATGACTATCGGAGTAAATCAAAATTTAATGGATTGTTTTATAGACCTAGGTAGTGAATGTTCTCTCATGCGTTATTCTGATGCTTTAAACTTAAACGTCGAACTTAAAACTGATAGTTTACCTGTTTTAAAGGGAATAGGCAATAATCACTTGCATGCTAAAGCGCGGATTGAAGTTGAAGTTAACGTACAAGATATAATATTACCAATTGAAATGTATGTGGTAGATGACGACGTCATTAAGCAACCAGTGTTGTTAGGGCAAAATTTTACCGAACATCCCAACATTATCTTAACTAAAACTTCTTCAGAATTGTTATTCGAAAATACAAAAGATGCAAGCAAACTATAACTTACAGTTTCTGATACCACAATTATTCCTCAGTATGATATAAAGCTAGTACCTATTGTAGCGAACAAATTATATTCAGGCATTATATATATAGATGGCTCTATAAGAGGTAAAATAGGACACCAATATTACCTTCTTCCAGGGGAATATCATCTTAAACACGGTAAATGTAGTTTATTAGTTCAAAATATCACGATAAATCCAATTAAATTCACTGCAAATTCTTTAATGACCCGTGCTATACCGGTTTCCTCTATTAGAGAAGTCTCAAAACTATCTATCGATGTCATTGACAAGGAAATAAATTGTAGCGATTTACTCAATGAACCACAAAGGCAAGAACTTAAAAACTTATTAAATAATTATAATGATTGTTTTTCTGAGAACCTTCAAGATCTCGGTTTCACAACAATGACTGAGATGGAAATACGTCTAACTGATTCAGATCCAATAGTGTATAGGCCATACAGAATGTCATTAAATGAAAAGACACATGTGCGTGAAATGGTCCAGGAAATGATAGACGCGAACATAGTACGAGAATCTTCATCGCCTTATGCTAGCCCAATTTTATTAGTTAAAAAGAAAACCGGGGAAAAACGTCTGTGTGTGGATTATAGGGCCCTTAATCGAAAAACTATTAAAGATCGTTTTCCGTTACCACGGATTGAGGATCAGTTGGATCTTCTTTCTGGACACAGTTACTTTACAACACTTGATCTTGCGTCTGGCTACTACCAGATACCGATTAAAGAAGATTCTAGGCATAAAACGGCTTTCGTTACTCCCGACGGACAGTTCGAATTCATGAGAATGCCATTTGGTCTGGTTAATGCGCCATCTGTTTTTCAACGTACTATAAATAAAATCTTAGCCGAAGCCAAAATTAAATATGCTATGGTCTATATGGATGATATCCTAATACCGGCTCACAACTTTGCCGAGGGGATAACTCGCCTTAGGGAAGTATTAAATTTATTAAGATCTGGAGGGCTAACTCTAAAATTATCAAAATGTTTTTTCTTTTATAACAATATAGACTACTTAGGATTTGAAGTAGGTTCTCATGGAATACGTCCAGGTTCTCGTAAAACTGAGGCTGTAAGTAAATTTCCCGCACCCAAAAACCAGCATGAAGTCCGTCAATTTATTGGCTTAGCTAGTTTTTTTAGACGATTTGTAAAGAACTTTGCAATAATAGCGAGTCCGTTGACGGATCTACTTAAGAAAAATTCTCCTTTTGAATGGTCTGATAAACATAATTATGCTTTTATGACTCTTAAAAACTGTCTCATTGAAAGACCCGTATTAGCCTTGTATGATCCTTCTTTACCAATTGAACTACACACGGATGCTAGTAAAATTGGGGTAGCTGGTGTAATTTTACAAAAAGGCCACGATGGCTCGTTACGACCGATATCCTACTATAGTAGGAAAACTACATTAGATGAGCAAAAAATGCACTCATTCGAGCTAGAAACTCTAGCGGTTATAGCCTCCCTTGCACGTTTTCGCGTTTATTTACTTGGAGTACCTTTTAAAATTTACACTGATTGTAATGCATTGCGAACAGCAATGACTAAGCGTGATATGGTACCAAGAATCGCGAGATGGTGGGTACAACTACAAGAATTTGACTGTTCTTTTGAATATAGACCTGGGCCCCGAATGGCACACGTGGATGCACTAAGCAGACATCCAGTTGCACCTCCCGTTTCAGAAACCCATGTTTTAGACGTACTTATGCTAGAAAAGGATGACTGGATTAAAACTGTGCAATTAGCTGATGATGCGATTAATTCAATCAAAGACATTCTTTCTAATCCCGATTCTGAGAAGATAGTTGAGGTTTGTAATAATTATTGTTTAAAAAATAATCATTTATTTCGCAAAGTAAATAATGAACTTCGCTGGGTTGTACCTAAAGCGGTTAGGTGGCAAATCCTCAAGATGAATCATGACGACGTGG